ATTCCGGTCATGCCCATTGCCAACTTCCACTGTCTCCCTTGGGGGAATTAAACAAATGGCAAATTGTGTTGACAAAATAGCATACAAGTATACTTGAAGAACATCATAATATGTTTATATTAACATTCAGACTTTACTACATGTGTAATGGAATTGACTACTGAAGTGACAAATTTTACCAAAAACCAGTACGCCTATGACAGAAGCTACATAACTTATATTCAAATGACAAGTTAACATTAAGATTAAACCACCACCTAATGTTTTCTTGTCATTCAGATTACAAAACATATTCTACCCAGTTATCATCATTTACAAAAAAAAATAACCTACCTATCAACCATTCTCCCAAAAAAAATTAAAAATGGTTCAAAAGTTATTCCATTCAAACCAAAAAATTACTCCTCAATGTTAGACCCAATGTTAGATGTCATCAAAGCTTGCTAACCTGCAGCAAAGAACCACAAATCAACATTTTGGTTCCCCAATAATCAATTTCATTTACTTTCCGAAACACCCAAAAAACACACACACCCACTTACTCTATTGACAACTTAAATATAGGATTTTACAATTTCACTAATGAATTTAACAATACTGACCACCTCATGCTTACTGTTTGCCACCATTTTTCCATTTCTGATGCGTCACTCTCTCATCCTGGTCAAATTCTTCATCTAAACCCTCTACACTCACAAGCCCATCCTCATTCGAGCATGCAGCAGCAACTCGAGTTAAGAAAGCAGGCGATACTAGCATTTTAACAGAAAAATTGCTTACCTTTTTCCTTTTTCTAGATTTCAACTCTTGCTCCAACTTCGTCTTCTCAGCTTTCTCTCTCTTCTGGTATATTATGTGTTTTCTTTCAGTTCATATCTTTAGAGAGGTTCCAAGACATTTTAGTCTTTCTACCGAATTGTCAAAATTCCAGATTAATACCTCATGCCCATTTGGTCATTTCAGTTATTTGCATGCCCATTTTGTCATTTCAAATTTCAACAGTCATTTTTTGGTCATTTTCCCTATTATACGGCTTCCAAATATGTTTTGTTATTATTATTTTATGGTGGCTTTTGAATTTCATTTGAATTGATGATTTTACAATCTTTTTTTTTTTTTGTGCCTCGTCTTGAAAATTTGTATAATTGAATAATTTAAGTTGGAAGGATGGGAGCCGTATAAAATTAAAATAAATGGAATTATGAATAGAAAGGACTTCCTCACTTCCCCCGTGGATCACGTTGCCTCTAAAATAATAAATTTTTTTCGTTACAAAAATAATAAAATTTAGGAACACACACCCACAGGGAAGTACTGATTCACATGTACATGAATGGTGAACCCGACAGATTTCTTTTTCCCCCAAAAAAAAAAGTAGGCCTGATAAAGAGCTTTTTAAAAGAAAATAAAGATTTTTTCTAAAAATAAATGATAGTAAAAAAACCTAAAAATTACGAAAAGCCAATATGATGCACTGAAATCGCATAATTCTTGTGAAATGTGGGATCCTGAAATGGGATTTTAAACTCAAGTGGGGAAAGAAAAAAAACACAAATGCCTACGTCAACTTGAATTTTAAAATTGTAAATGACCATTCAGCCACCAAATTTTATCATCAAGATAATGTAAAATAATGTACAGATTACTTAGGTTTGGCTACAAATTATTCACAATTTTTGTTTAGCTATTAAATATACCTTATTAGTTTGTTTAGCAATTAATAATGTCCATCCAGTTATTAACAATTTTTATTTAGTTATTCATTGCATTTGATTGGATATTTGCAATTTCTGTCTCACAGTTAATCAATCATATTTTTTTAGATTTTCAACTTGTTAAAATCACTAGGGTAAATGTATAATTTTACCTTTGATTCTATTTCTTATATGTGTCCGGCACCCGGATCTTCTCAGTAGTGTCATTTTATCCATAATATTTTTTTGGGTGTAATTATGTGTTTATGTTATGTTTAGTAATAAGTAAGATTGCACCAACATAAAAAAGATCATGGGTGAATTGCCAAAAAAAAGATTATAGGTAAAATTGTATCACTAAAAAAATCAGGATGTTGCGTCCATTTGAGAAATAAAATCAAAAATAAAATTCCAATTTTACCCAAGTAATTAAATAAGGTCACAGCACCTATTAGCTATTTATTATAAGTTTGGCAATTTAAAGTCACTTTTTCATGTTTTTATAACTTTTATATAAGTATTTATTTTTCTTCTTATTCTTAATGTAAGACTGATTAACTAATTTGAATATATTAAATATGTTAATTAAATAAGATTTATATATAGAATAATATTAACTCTCAATTTAGATCTTACATTAAGGGTAAGAGGAGTGTATTTCATTACCTATTCAAAATTTTTGGTTAACAATTAACTACGACTTTTTAAATCCTCCATTACACGAACACTATAAAAAAAAAAAAAAAAAGGAAGAAGAAACAAAAACAAGAGTGCTATCAGTACCTGCTGCCACATGCAGATGCAATAGCCCTCTATGCGGATTGGGTGGGCACTTGTGAATAGTGATCAGTCCTCCCTTTTCTGGCGTCTGAGGATTGACCATCCATTCATATTCAACCCAAAATAACAAATAACAACAATAATAGTAATACCCGTGTTTTCTTTGGCTCAAATAAAAAGCATTCGTGAGGTTCTCATGTGAGAAAACAAAAATGAGAAAAGAAATAAAAAAGAAAGCATTCATGAGACATATTTTCTGCGATCTAAATACAAAACCTGTTTAATTAATTAACATGAAATTAAAAAATTGATTAAGTTTATTATTGAGAGAATTTCATACAAAAAGAAACTTGAAATTACTAAAATCTCAAATCAGATTTGACTCTTATACTTTAATAGGTTTTGACAACATTTGATTTGTAAATAACAACACATTTCTGTAAGAATTTTTTATGCCAATTTTAGTAATTTTTTTTGGTGAGATTCTCCCCTGATTATTTATGATTAGTGTGCAAAAATTGTGTATCATTCTTTCTAAATTATCTCTATTTTAATAAAAGCATTAAATATATGAGAAAAAGGAGTGAAAATAAATTAGTGAGGATAATATTAAAACAATATTAAATGAATGAGATAGATTGATCAAAGTTTCTTATTCTAAGATCAAATTACGTCTATCAAGGAAGTACCATGTTTACAATTATTGGCAAAAAATAATGTGTATTAACTTAATTATCAAGTGGGAGTCCCTCAATATGTGCAATCAATAAAAATATTTTGGACAAAATATTATAAATTTAAAAGACAACGTGAATTAAAATATTAAATTTAGGACCTAAATGAATTTCTTGTTTAGCTCATATAAGTAGAACCAAAAGTAGTATTAACTCTTATTTATAAGACATTTTCAATATATTTCATCTGAATCAATAAGAACCTTATTAACTCTTATATGAAAATTTAATACTTTTCCGTTCCTTAATGTAATACCTATTTAACTAATTTGATTAGATTAAGAAAGTTAGATAAGTTAGTTAATTATAAGAAATATGACATGTTTTTCCTCAATATCATAATCATTTTCCTTAATATCCCCCCTCTCTTTTACTTGATTATAGTTGATGGACCATCCATAAAGATAATTTAAGAAAAATTGGTAAATATGATAAATAGATTTTATATTTAAGACTAAAATCAACTCAATAATTAGATTCTATATTAAGGATAAGAAGAGTAACTTTTTAACTTTAACTCAATTTAAAATATATGTACTTTAATAAGAAGTCTCAATACATAAAAAATAATAAATTAGGACACAATTTAAACTCATCCCCATGCTTTGAGTCACTCAGTAAAAGGAAAAGCTAAGTCGAAGACTATCGGTGAATGATAGAGTTACAGAATTATTTTGATAAGTACAGAGTTTAAAATAAAACTAGCCTTTTGGTTATCATTTTTTCAAAAAAATAATTGGTTTAATATAATTTTTGATTCCTCAACTTTATTTTTATTTTGATTTTGATTCATTACATTTTAAATAATAGATTTTGGTCTCTCAAATTCCTTTTCATTTAAAAGATTATTCCCTATAATTCAATAAAAATATGGATCATTTTACTCTTAGAGGAACCAAAATTTAAAATTTAAAATTTGAGAGACTAAAACTAAAATGAATGCAAATTTAAAAAACTAAAAATTACATTAACCTAAGATAATTCTTATTTCATAGGTGCTCAATGCTCATCATCCTCCCCACACATCATCTAATTAAGCGTTGAGCTATATAGCAACAAGTCAACAACCGGGTCGAATCACTGGATGATTCAAAACGAAACATAAAGCTACACAAGTCCAAACAATTGAAGACCTTAACTATAATCTTGATCCATCACTGCTAGCACGAATCCCTACCGAACATCCTGGGATTCGAACAGATGTTGCCTCAAATACTTGATTAAATCATTCACCTTCATCTTGTATTGGTCCTTCATCTGCAATAATAATAATAATAGATTCAGCAAACAATCAACTTGCAGAGGTACATCACGAAGAAAATGCCGACGATTCATTAGAGTTGAAGGAAGGAATGTACCTGAGCGACCATGGTGATGCTCAAAGCAGAGTTTCCAAAAGCCAGAGAGTTACAGCATGAGACAGGGAGATGAACGTGTTCAAGGAGTTCCACCGTCTTCCGCATCATATCTCGTCGGCCCTCGCACTGAACCCGAACCAGAACTTCATTCTCCAGAACCCTCACTTCCATTTCTGGAACCTCAACCGCTTCCTGGGCTCTGCAACACCAACACTTCTCCGTTGAGGTTTTCTCTTTCCTCACTCTTCCTCCTCCTCCTCTTCTTTTCCTCTTCTTTTCATTATTCTCCAGCTCTCTCACTCGCTCTTGAAGTCGCTTCACGTAATCGATCGCCTCGCCAAGTACAGTCGCCTTGTCCATCTATACACACTCGGCAATACAAGATTTTATGTATTTTATGGACATAATCCAAGTAAGTGGTGAGAGAATAAAAGCTAAGTGACCTTCTTCAAACCGGGGATGGTGGCGGCGAGTGCTATGAACTTTTGAGTGAGGTCCTGTGTTCTTCTCCTCTCGGTCATAATGTGATGAATGACTTCAGAGGAGGATCTGGACTTGTTTCGGTGTTCAGCGCTGCGAATCGCTCGCTGTCGTTTCGATGGCGGAGAGGAAGTTCTGGCGAGACATGGAGGTTCGTCTGTGATGGGGATGATGGTGGATTTATCAAAAGACAGAGTGAAGGCTGAAACGGCGGGGTGCTTGGGATCGTTGAAGAATGAGTTGGCGCCAGTGCTTGCGGGGAAGCCATCATTATTGTGGGTGAAGGATGTGTTGTTGACGGCATCTGCGACGGCGTCGGCGGCGTAGGAGGAGGAGGAGTTATGGTCTGATTCGACTTGAGGACAGAGACCGCTTTCTGCTTGGTGACAGATGTCGTCGCTCAAGAACTCGTCCTCATCGAAGAAACCCTGACCATCCATTTCCTGTATGAGAACCAAAATTGATGATTGGCCCAAAACAAGTAGAGTTAGCGCCAATTAATTTTGATAATCATAGTGAAAAGAGAAACGCAATAGAATAGCGATGTTGAAGAAATTAATAATTAATAATATTGGGAGCGTGATTGATTGTTATAAACACACACACACACACACCAAATGTTGGAGAGAAGAGGGGTTGTGGTCCATGAGAGAGTGAAAGAAGTGGAAGCTTTGGTTTAGCAGAAGAAATGGTGTTAGAAGCGAGAAAAGAGGGAGAGAATGAGCAAGTATAAAAGGAGGCACAAGCAGCGGCCATTCCCCACGCAACACCGTGTTCCTTCCAACCCCAATTCATTTTCAAGTCCTTGTTTGTTTTCCTCACAAAATCGAATCTACAATCCAAATATTTTTTGTTTGCTATGCACCCTAGACGGGTCTTAACTAATATGTAATTCTTCATATTAAACACTTTTTGTTTGCTATGCACCCTAGACGGGTTTTTCATTTTTTTGTTTAATTTTTAAAAAATAGGAAGAATTACAATCAAGTCTAAAAAAAAATTACTAACAAGTCCCAATAACAATCTAAATAGCTTGTCATGATAAGTTTTAGAATAGGAAATGACAACATCTAATATTTGTTTTGTAATTATTTTTTTTTGGGACCTCAGTATAATTCTTCAAAAAAAAACTATTGTAGGATGTCTTTTTGAAAAGAAAATTTTCCAAAAGCGAACCTTTTCTTTGTCAAGTCTTTCCTTACTTAAAATAGAGATATGTCATGATTTATACATGGTTCCAAGCCGGTTCTGCCTAAACCATGTACCACTGCACAACCTAACAGCCATGTGATAATTCGTTGCCTTTTGGCAGCCTCAGGATGAATCAATAATATCAATAAAAAAGTTTATGTATCAGTCATCAGTCTTTTTTTTTTTTTTTAACCATCATCCACGCCACACTACTTTCTAGATAATTAAACAAGGAAAAATGACACAGTTGGAAATTGCAATAGTCCAATTCAGGCACTTAGACTTCAAAATCTCAAGACAGAGAGTTATGTATGATTGGATATTTTGCAAATATAGTTAAATGGCAAATGTGCCTTTATATCAAAAAGTTTATTAACAAGTTGTGAACTGACAATAATAAATTCTGAACTGTAAAGGACAAAAAATATATTAGTAATGACAAGTTATTTATTACTAAGTTATCAGCAGATAATGATAAATATTAAACAACTACTAACAAGAAATGTATTGACAATAACAAATTTGATGACTTTTTTTTTTAAAAAATCTAATACAAGGACATTTTAGCTATTTGACTACATTTGCAAAATATCAGATCAGGCACTACTTTAACTTTTTAAATTTTAAACTTTTATGTGCCTGAATTGGAATATTGTAAATTCTAATTTTTTATGTCATTTCTTATTAAAGAACACATAATTATTGAGTATTCATAATTTCAGACAATGATTCTTTTAGATTTTTTTTTTGGATAAAAAGGTCAGATGCTTTATTAAACAAGGAAAGAAGAGTAATACAGCGTTAGTAGTTAACACAACCCCAATAAGTGGGATAATATGCTCTATCTACATGTTCAGAAATTAAATCTATCTTAATGACCGAGATTAAATTAAAGAAACCATAAGTAATCTAGAAATGTGATTATCTATTTACTTAGCTCTCATAATAGAGTATCCAGCAGGGGGAGAAGTTGTTTCCTCACACAAAAAAAACTAGAGAATTACTATAAACTAGAGAATTAGATCCGCCATTAAATTGACTGAAGGAATCGAGATCAGACCAAGATTGAAAAAAATTACAATTTAAATAAAATAAAAAATCAATGTAATCGGAGAATTAGAATGCCTTCGATCACCTTCTAGGAAGCATATTTCTTGGAGTTAACTAGAAGAGGACTAGTTCTTTCAAAAGACTAAAATGAGTCTGATGAGTAAAGACTGAAGCACAAAGTTTAGCCATTTTTATTTTTATATATGAAAAAACAACAAAAATGACCTGTTGTTGGCACCAATTTCTTTAAGAGATCAATTCGTGCACTTGTGAAATTATAGGCTTCATGTATAATATTGGCTATTAGTATTTCATTTTATATTTGTCTACAATTTCATTTTGAAAATAATTCATCAACACATAAAACTTAATTTTAAAACAAAGTTTCATTAACATCACAACCGACTTTCTAAGTCTAAACAAATATAGTACTTCCTCCGGTTCTAAATATAAGACCTTTTTTATAGTGTAATTTACACTATAAATTTTTTTTTATATTTAGGACCTGAGGACTATTACATAGACCATAATGATAAATGACAAGTTCATTAATTGGTAGCCGGAATTAATTTGCCGATTTGGTTCTATATTTTCAAATTTGTGTTGTTTTTATGAAAATAAAAAAAAATACATTTCACGGCAGTGAACTTTCAATTATGTGATCGGAAAAATATAAGTAACAATTTTTCCCCATCATACCCTTATTTCCTCCATTTTACTGCCACACGTGCGATGCATTCATATGTGCCGCCCTAGGCCCTTATTTGCACGTTCACATTGTCTTTTCAAATCCCTTTGGTTATAAAGGCAACCAAACGGCCTTGCTTTGCTCCTCATTCTCACAAAATGGATCAGCTGTCTTGGGAGGCTTTCCTCTCTGAGCTCGTAAGTCCAAATTTTATTATTATTATTATTATTATTATTATTATTATTATTATTATTATTATTATTATTATTATTATTATTTCTTTTATTGATTATTATGCTCTGTATCATTAATTACTTTGTTTTCAAGGACATGGAGAACGAATTTGATTTAAGAGGAACGAATTCGGATCAGGATGATGAAGGACAGTGTTTTCTCAGAGATATCCTGCAGGACCCGAATAGTTTATTATCTTCAGATAGTGAAAAGATTCTGCCTCCGACCACTGTGCCCGACGGCGGGGCCACCACCGGCAACTCAGCCAACTCCAGTTTCGTCGTCAACTCTCAACAATCTGCTTCCGAAACAACACCCCCACCCGCCTGCGTTCTGTCTTTCGATCAATCCGTTGTGATTCCCGATATGCCAGACCCCAGTTATAATCATTCGCTCCAGAGAAAAGATGTTAGCAGTTATTCCTTGGAGCCCAAACGGACCGTTGAAATGCTTGACTATGAACCAGCGATGAACAGAGGGAAAAAGAAGGCCAGAAGCGGTGCTGGGGCCATGGATCACATACTGGCTGAGAGAAGAAGGAGACAGGAACTCACAGAAAAGTTCATAGCACTTTCGGCCACCATCCCCGGCTTGAAAAAGGTCACAACTCCGTACCTTACGTACTTAGTACTGTGTCTTCTTGCTGATCTTAATTAGCATTTCATACGAAGTTCACCGTATATATGAAACGATACCAGAAACATGTCTCATCAAAACCATTTGTGCGTAGATTGACAAGGCGTCTATACTGAGCGAAGCTATAAGTTACGTGAAGCGGCTTCAAGAACGTGTGAAGGAACTTGAGAAAGAGGCGAACAAGATAACGTCTGCAGATGATGACGATGATGATATTGACAGAGCAGGCACGCCGGCGTCGATTGAAGTGAACTCCGGCGACAGGTACACACCCAACAACGACGTACTCCCCGATGTCAAAGCAAGAATGTCCGACGACAAACAAGCGCTCATCAGAATCCTCTGCAAGAAACAGGACTGTGCAATGCTTAGAATGCTTGATGAGCTCAAAAATCTTAATCTCAGTGTCATTGGTAACAGTGTCATTCCATTTGGCTCCTCTACTCTTGATGTTACCATTATTGCTCAGGTACATATATGTGTATACCGTACACAACCCTATATTTGTTATTTGGGAATAATTATTTTGACGCTTTTATAATAACTTGACGTCTATATATATATATATATATATATATATATTTACATGTTATGCAGATGAGTGAGGAATACAGTGTATCAGTGAAGGAAGTAGTGAAAAGCCTGAGAATAGCACTTTCTTGAAGTGTAATGGGGATCATTGCTAGTTTATCAAAAGAGGTCTACTAACTCTTTGGAGTTTAGATCTTCAAGGATTTCCACTTTTTGGAGAAGCTTGCTTTATGTGTTCAGGTCTTGTGCTTCTGTGCGTGCGTGTGTGTGTTGTTGATAACAAATTAAAGAATTGAAACTAAGTGTGCCTGGCTTTTTGAGAGTGAAGTTTTTCGATGATGCAAGACTATATTAAGACATGCAGATTGCAGAGTGTAGCTTACCAATGAATAATGTTCAGTTTATATTTGGCCACATTTGTCTTTTATAATTTATATTTGGGAAAGTTTCAAATAGGCCCCCACCGTGCAAATTTATTTTCAATAACCCCGTAGAAATCTGAAATTCCACTGTGCCCCTTTCTGGGTAAAATGAAATTGTTTTTTTCAAGCAAAAAGGCCCAAATAACCCTGCATTCGCAAAAAACATCAGGGAACCTACAACAAAAGTAAGGACATTCACAGGACAAAGAAGATATTTTAGAATTCTAATAAGGTGATTCACAAAAAACATAAATTATACCCAAATAAACTTAATTAAGATCGGAATTAACAAGGAAACTAAGCAAATTCATCATTGGAATATGGAATTTTATAACACAAATAAGGTGAAGTACGGCATTTACAAGTAAATTAGTAAACATGCATTCACAAGAAATTAGAGTTTTTACAATAAAAGTATGGCAATTTGTAACACCTCACATAATTATATCAATATACACAATAAAATATTTAATTTAAAAGTCCTTACATATTTTTGATACTGCAAACCAGTCAAAATTTCAAAACATTTCTAACATAACTTAATAACATAAACTATTAACGTCTTATAGTCATGGCAAATAAAAATATAACATAGCATGTGCTTGAGGAGCACAGAAGCCTTCACGGCTCACTCCATTGGTGCCTTCCCTTGATTCCTACTAGATCCTTCGCCTGAAAATTGTTAAGA